GGGGGGGTCATGTGACACAATGAAGCCATTGTAAAGGATACAATCATGTGGCGGTCTGATGGCGCCCGGTGACGCAGCTTCTCCAACTTCTGTAACTCTTTTATTTCCTTGTTCCTCACTGTATTGAATTTCTTGATTTCTGCCTGCAGGAAAAAGAGACGCGTGAAAGATATTTGGAACAACGCCAGCCTAAGCCCAGCACAGTAATATGTGACAGCAATGTTCCCTGTGATATAAAATAGATGAACAATACAATAAATGAAGTGCGTTTCCTGTTATAGGTGGTGTCTGGTAGGCGGAGCCAACCGCTCCCCTTATGGAACTTCTGTAGTTGCTGGTTCAGCTTCTGTCCACCTGGGGAGCCCATCTTTGTGCGGTAGTCAATGTCAGAGGGGTTTCCTCTAAGGCAGGGGTGGAGCTACAAGTCCCATGAGGCATTGCAAGACTGACTGTTAAAGGCATGACCCCCAGAGGCAGAGGGATGTTAGGATTCGTAGTTAAAGCACAGTTGTAGGGCCGCAGTTGCCCCCCCCCGAAGACATATACAGACAAGAATTCCTCCACAAGGTCTAAATTTGGGTTGCGTTGTGTACTCACCCGCTTGTCCTTGATCAGAGCACCGTACATTTTCATTGGGTTTACCACTTTGGTTTCAAGGCGCTCCACCTGTAATTGAAAGGAATATTAGGTATAGTAGTGCAGGTTCCAACAACCCCTGGCACACGTGTCCTGGCCGGCACACCATACCCGATGGTACCCGCTGCCATTGGCTGCAATTAACCTCTTAGTTGACTGTCAATTACAAATCCTGGCCCACCAACCTCACTGACGTCACTGAGTGTCTGCTGGCAGCTGGAGGATGCGGGTGTGCTCTGCAGAAGAAGACCAATCACATGCCTGCAGTGGAACCCTGCGTTCTTAAAAGGAGAACTATGGGGTTAAGTCTTTTCCCCATAGTTCTCCTTAGGGTAACGGGAGGACACAAACTAGCGTCCTCCTGTCACCCTAGGCTCAGTATATAGGGAGCTGCTGCTAGCGGTATACTGAGACGCCGCAGCTGAAGCGGATCCCGACAATTGTGCCGGGATCCGCCCAGCTGCGTGACGCACAGCTGGCTCTGCCTATCTAGAGGGGGAGCCAGCTGTACCCGCCCCCTCCCCCGTCCGTTCCGCCAGTCAGCGCTGGAGGATCGGAGCGGGGAGGGGGGAATCCATCCCCTCCCCTGTCACGGCAGAGAGCTGTGACAGGATCGAGAAGTGAGCGAGCACCGGTATGTGTTCGCTCACCTCCCGATCTACTGAGCCGACCTCTGGCAGTCTCATTGTCACACGTCGGCTAGAACTATGAGGTGAGTGAAAAGCACTCACCTCATAGCTCTCCTTTAAAGGTACAGGGTTTGGGACTGATCTGAGGTCTGAAGTGCATGCATTGGGGATGATCCGAAGTTACAATTGCATGTATTGGTGCTGATGAATGCATTGGTGGACCCCCATGCATGCATTGGGGCTGATGTCGGCAGGGAATGCATTGGGGCTGATCTGATGTGCATGTTTTGCTTTGGTGTTATTTTGGAGGTCTAAAGTCTAAAGTGCATGCATTAGGGCTGATCTAAGGTCTAGGTCTAAGGTTAGCGTTAGGGTCGGTGTAAGAGACGCTTCTGCTTATCAACAAAGCCATCACTCGCCATGTCAGTGCAGATTTGATGATCTCATGGCTGTCACAAAGCAAATCCATTCGATTTTTTTTTTGCTTTTCATGACAATTTCAGCTTAGTGGTCCCCATAACGAAATTTGAGTATAATTGTGAAAAGATTACGTCAAAGGTGACATTTTTGCTGCAAGCCCGCTGTGCGTGCATCAAATTCGACTTCCCCTGTGAACAAAAAAGTGAATCATGAAATCACAACACACAAAAAAAAAGTGCACAAGGGTGCTTTGGTCCTCCTCCGAAGAGGAAGGGCCTTGAAATTCCTGAACCCCTCGGGCGCAAGGCTCCTGACAGGGGCAAGGGCGACTCGGGTCCACCTACCCGAAGGCTGGCGGACCCCGATCCTCAGGGTCCTACCGAAGTAGGTTCCACAAGTACTAGATGGGCACTTCCCCAGAGAGACCCCTAAGTGGGGCAAGGCAGAGAAGCCTGTGAAAGCCACAGAACCTCCCCCCTAACATCAGGATGGGCCCTGAGGGTACCCGCAACCTTTGTCATCTGTAGAGTCAAAGGTGTAATCGTGCATAAAAAAAAGTGCTTAAAATAAATAAGTGCCGGAGCACAAACAGAAGCGTGGTGCAGAAAATGCTTTAGGTGCCGTGACCTAGTGACGGTGAATCAAGTGGGGACCCAAACCCAAGTGACTTCCCAGCACCCCTG